CTCTTCATCTTTCCCTTTTATATTCTTTTTCCCACCATTATTAATTTGCTTACCCTGCATTTCCCTTTTATATGGAATTATTTTATTGCTTAGGAGTTTAAAAATTGCTTACTACTATGTAAAACTTATATTATACTAAAATCGATGTAATTCAATACTTCCTCATATATTTACTACATNATTGAAGTATAAAATGTATTATGATAGAAATACTAAAGAAAGAGATAGTTTTGTGATAGGACAAAAAGTATCAATGCAAAAAGGCAAAGAATGGGTGAAAGGAGTTATAGTAAAAGAAGCTGGACCCAGATCTTATATTATAAGAGATGATAGAGGTAGTCAGTATAGGAGAAATTCCTTTCACTTAAGAAAATCTGAACCTGAGGATAAAATAGAGGAAAGTACTAGTGTAGAAACAGAAAACAAAAAGCAGAAGGAAAGGAGGAATAGACCAAATAGAATAATAAGATTACCAGCTAGATACAAAGTTTGAGTTGTATTTATGTAGGATTATTATTTTAATGTTTATATTTTTTTTATTTATGTATATTAAATATGTTCTTAATTTAATGTTTTTTTTAATTGAAAAAAAAATAATATTAAATTTGAATTAATGTTTTTCTTTGTTGATGTTTTTGTAATTTTTAAAAAAAAAAAATTGTTAAGAGAAGGATGTTATATATTAGTGGCTGCACTGTTAAGCAGCTAGCGTCTTCGTTCTCTCTTTGATTAAGACGCTCTTATGATTATTTTAAAATAAAGTTTTTACTGTAAAACTAAACTTGTTCTCTTTTTTAAAATATGTATTATTAAAATACATAACAGTACATGGGGGTCGCGGCACAGTTGTGACGTGGCATAGTTGGGTCAAGTATAATGATATCTGCAGTGATTAAAAACACCATCATATAAAACGCTTCGATGCAAATCTGTAGATAGTGTTTAATTTTAAAAAAAGTTTATTAATGAGCAACAACAGGTTATTTTAAGAAAAAAATAAAACAAACCGAAAGATGAATACAATAATATTAATCATCGCATAATATCGCGGCACTTTCGCTGGCATTGATGACGTGATGTCCGGCATGATCCTCGGGTCTCAAAATATTAGCAGCCGCGTTGATGACGACAGCGCACGGGTGTGGATCGGTTTGGCGACGTTGTCACTTTGACAACAAGACTAAGACTTCCGTATCATTTGCGATGGGTCATCGCCGGCCGTGCTGCAGTTCCTGGACTTTGCACCATAGCGTATGGTACGCGGTGTAGGTCAGTCAAATACTTATAGTAGGGCGACGGCTGTTTAAGGTGACGCGAGTCGCGGGACATCGTGTCAATATATATATTTATAATATATAAAGGGAAATGGTTTTATTAAAAAAAATTGTATTGATCCATACATTTTTCAAAATGTTATATCATTTTAAAGTTAAAAACCCAGCACAGGGGGGTCGCGGCACAGTGGTGACGTGCATTAGTTGGATCAAGTATAATGATATCTGACAGTTGACACGGCACCGCCTTTTTTCTCTAGGCTGGCGCTCGCCCGTGTCTCTCTTGATATCAGCCGTCCAGCTATTAATATGACGATCGGTTGTCTCCCCGCCCTTGACACTGAGATAAGGCCGCCGCCGAATATGGATTACTGATATTGCGTTCTGTTGCGTTTAGGACGGCCACCTTAACTGGTCGATATATTTTACTTGTGCTGAACGTTTATTGTCTGTGGTTCGTTTAGTTATTTTTGAGTCTGTCTATTAGTGGTGATTGCGACCAATTGCGTTTGCAAATTTATCTTTTTTTTTGACCGAACGATTTATAGTAAGGATATATCTGTTAAAGACCAGTAATTGGTGTAAACTTGTATTAACTTTAATTATTGATTGAAGTCGTGCGCTGGACTTAGCGGTACACCGTGTTAAATATTTAATAACGAAATATATATATATATGGTAGTGCACTATAGCTTCACACGTTCAACCGTAAATATTGGATACGCGTTAAGTGGCTCCCCGAAAAAGGAATCTAAACCGGCCGAGAGAAACTAAGGTAAGAGGCTTTGAGCCGATTCAGTTTTATTTCTAATTATATTAGATTTTAGGTTTAACGTGAAACGGTGAAGTCTCCCTTACAAATTTAATAGTTCATATAGTTATTTGAACGGACTTCACTGGTGACAGCAGTGAATTTTTAACATGGGTTATTCACAGTTACGTGTTAGCGGGATTAGATTTAGCCTGGTCTCTGGGAAAATTTTCTTTTATAAAAATAAAGTCGGAGCAGTTTATCTAATATAATCCGCCGTAAGCATTGTCGTTTAAAAGTGTTGGTTACAGTTTGTTATAAAGACCTTATTGATATCGACAAGAAGTGAATTTCCGGCCGATAGTTACAGTCTTTTGGTAGATAAAAATAGGATATTTTCGTCTGACCTTGTCAAAGCGGCCGATTTCCAGGTAACCGTTATTATTATTGTTCACTCGCTGCCATATCATATACGGCGGCCCCGGACCATCTTATCGCGGTCATTATTACAACAATAGCAATAATAATAACACTTGTTTTCTACAGCAGTAGTAAATTTGACCGTACACGGAGATATTGTTTATCTCCGCTATTATAGTAACATAGGTTTGATTATTTAGTTTTATAAACAAACATAATATTCACGGTCAATATGTCGGGGAAAACATTAGCACAAATGAATTGCGCTGAATTACGTCACGAATGCGCTTTTAGACAGCTATCATGCTACTCGACGAAACCCAACATGCTAGTGACGCTAGAGGAAAACATACGTAGCGAAGGGAGGAATCCAGCTACTGAAATTTTACCGCCCCGTACGCCGTTCGATAGCGAAATTCCGGTCCGCGAACCCAACGTGGGGGTTTTAGATAATTCCACGGACCGTATCAGCGACCTCGACGCGAACTATCAGCGGCCCGGCGTAGCACCTTTACCGGAGGAATATCCGGTGAACCTCGCGCTACACACATCACACGACGAGTCTGATGTCGAAAAACCGGGGGAAATTACGCGCGCAAGCGGTCAACTAGGCGTGCCGTACGTCGAGGACGTATATGTTGCCCGCTCGATAGCGCACGCAGCAGAACAAGTCGGGGCGATCCGACAGAACATTCGCGACATATCGAATAACACGCGGATCGAGGCACGGATGTCTGAATTAGAAAGGTCGCTCTCGCGTATGTCAATGGAACAGTGCCAGATTTCAAACATGTTGGAGCGAATCAGTCAAAACATGCTGCCGTCCCCACACGTTGCTGTCCAACCGACTATTCGTCAAGTTAACGTCGAACGAAACGATAGTCGACGATCGGATGCGCATCGTGTTACATTCGGTCCATCGGAAGCGACGGACTCGACGCGACACGACGCAACACTACACGAGCGCCTCGCGGACATCGAAGCGCAAGAAGCCCACAACATGAGACGGTCGTACGGACAAGCGTCGCTACCACGGATGTGTAGCACGGGTTGACAAGACGAACATTATCCGCGCACTCAACATATGAGAACGAACCGACCGATTTTTCGTTTACGCGCCAACCACGGGAGGGGCAATTCAACACAACCGACGAACGTTTGTCTTTTAATGATTTGTTGCCTACCCGCAGCTCGCGGTCTGTATTGGTACCTTACCACGACCTCCGCACCGTACGCGTCTGTATACCTGAATATTATGGGAGAAACGAAGAGGACCCACGAGAGTTTCTAGACAGAACGGAGGATCTACTCTGTCAGGACGGTGTACACCCAACGGCATGGGTGAATATCGTCGTCCCGTTTTTGAACGACAGGGCAGGTGATTGGTGGCGAGCGATTAAATTAAATAATATGCCATGGGCGGAATTTATTTATCATTTTTACCAATATCATCACTGTGGATATTATAAGAACCAGAGAATTTACCAAGTAAGATTTTTTAAATCCATAAGAAAATTTACATTGTTATTTTATAACCCTCAAATTACACCCCGAATCAAAAGTACCTCTTACTCTCATTTTTTAAATTCCAAGAACAATAATAATTCTGACCTTTTTTTTTTTAATCTTTAAATTTTATTTTTCTATTAAATTTTGAGTTACGACATGAGTAGTTGTGTAAAGTATGAGCTGGGACCCCCCCAAAACGGCCCCGGCCGTTTCCTCTCCCTAGGTTGACGGCCTATGTAAACGGCCGAGGAGATATGGTGAAAGGCATAGTCCCCCCACCCACATGTTGTGGGTTTACCCTGCCATAGGTAGACGGGCGGTGTAAACGGCTGGGGGGATATGGTGAAAGGCATAGTCCCCCCACCTACATGATGTAGGTTTACCCTGCCATAGGTGGACGGTCGGTGTAAACGGCCGGGGGGATATGGTGAAAGGTCGATGTTTCTCGTTCCTAGATATCATTTCGTTATACCATGGTATATGCATAGTATACCTAGGTAGAAGGAACATCATATAGTATATCTTGATATTATACAGAAAATTAGAGGTATTTTAAAAATTACATAATTTTAGAATTATATGAAAATATTTGAATGCAAAAAAGTGAAAGGTGTAATCAAGCGGCGACGGCGGCTATTAATCCCACGAAACCCAACTTTAGCTATGTGACGTGTATGCTTTTGACCATAGAGAGTTCCCTTCCTTGACTAACGTAGTTATTAAAACAGTAAATCAGCGGTTTACCCCAACATAGAAGGGGAGGTGATGATGAAACTCATCATAAGGTGATCATTATTATGATATTAAAGTAAATAAATAAATATGTACATTATTATACTATTTCATAAGAATTGAGTTATTTTTTAATTAAAGAGAAAATATTTAAAAAATCGATAGTTTAAATTAATTATTATGATATTAAATTACATTATTGCGTTTGTTAATAGATATATTTTTTGTTAATGTGTAAACGTTATTGGATAAGACATATGTATACATATTGAGTATATACATACTCTATTACATATATTTGTATAAAAATATTTAGAAATCGTGACTTTAAATTTAATTATTAGGATATTAAAGTGAAATCACTTAAGTGGTGAACGAAAAGGCTAGTTTACAGAGATATGTGATCTGTAATTTGCCGACCCTCGATGAAAATATGTGATTTTTCCGCATAAATGAGCGTGAAATCGTTGATAATGTCACAGTGTCATCAAGAACCCTCAGCTCTAAGAAGAAGACTCTACTCTAGAATAATATGGCTGCCGAACCTGTAAGAAAGCAGCGCTACATTTATATCGCACCAACACCGCCAGTCGAGATGATTGACTCTAGCAGTTACACTATTGCGTTCAGCGACAGAAAATTTTTGCAAGTGGGCCTGAATCCGAAGGATGACTTCAATGTTACGGTATGCATTATTACTCCTTCACGATATATTAGTATGTCAGCAGATTATTTAAATATTATTTACGGCATGAGGGATGAAATAACATTATTTCTACAATCACCTCCGGTAAAAGGAGAGAACATTATGTTATACCAAAATGTCGATTTTAATATAACCAAAGTATTGTACCGTGATACCATGCATTTAGTATTAGAATCCAGAATAGTGGATGGGTGTCGAGTGTTATTGAATAACGAAAACATTAATAGACTTATGGACTTACAGTGTACTATTAACAGTGCAATATCAAGAAAAATAAAAACACGTTTACTATTAAGCCATCAAATAGACCGCATTATACAATACGCCGACGGTAAATGGTCGGGCCCTAAAATTCAACAATCAAACAATGATGAAATGGTTAATTTTATAAGAAGTTTGAACGAAATAGAAATAGGTGACAGTAATTACATAAGCGAGCTGAAAAATTTAGCATACAATGTAATAGTTGATCGATGGGTCAAGTCATGGTCCGAGGGCACGCTTCAAATTAATGTGAGTTTAATGAACATAGATTGTCAATATCTTTATTGTTATTAAATTTATAATTTGTTTTAGGAAAAAGAAGAAATGTATGACGAAAATGACGGTCCGGCATTTTTCGATACAACAGTGTTTACCCAAGAAAATAGTTATAGTCCATGGGCTTCACAATGGCCGAAACCCAATCACGTCAGAAAATTAACTTATATTAATAATTTATAAACAATAACTTTATATATTGTACTAGTTTCAAATAATAAACTTATAATCTAAAATGAAAAACAAATTGTTGTTATTTGTATATAATATATTTATTTCATAATAATAATAATAATTACAAGGTTAATAATAAATGTTTACATAAACGTGTAAAAAATGTTAAAATATACGGACAGTTCCGTCAAAAGGTGTATATGTAAATACATTGTCTGAAATTACTAGAGCATATGCAGTTGTATTACCAGGGAACGCGGCTGATGCTTCAATTTCAATACGTAGGTCAAAAGACGAGACTGTAATTGTATCGTTCTGCTTTGACATGTCGATTACGGCAATAGGTATTAAATTAAGAAATTGTTTTTTATTTACTAAAGGCGAACACCAAGGTCTATCATAATAACTCTTTTGAAAATTAACATAGTAGGAAAATAAAATACTAAATAGCTTACAGTCAAAATTACATCTTAAATCGATGTACGGGTAAACTTCTGAATTTAAATGGACTTTAAGATTTGTTAAATTACAGTGATCGAATTCAGACATTGATTTACTTTCACTATTTTTACGGTCTGTTTGAAACCCTACTATAACATAACGAGGTTTTTGAAAATTATTACATGTTTTAACGGTCCATGAAAACGATTTGTTTTGTGGTACAAACGGATATTCACACAGTTCCCAATTTCTATGGGCGCAATGTATAGACTTTTTACTATCTAAAACTCTAAGTAATTTTAATTGTTCCTTTTCGGTCACTTTGACGATTGGCATATTCCATACAACTTTTGTTAGTTTAATTGATACTGTAGACAGTTTTTCTTTTACTGTGGTACTCGTATCTAATAGCTTGACAACCTCATTATCATCAGAAGTTCCCGTGCTGCATTTAAGTTTTTCAGAGGACTCTTTCACATTGAATAATTTGATTACGTTAATGTCTGATGAACTCCTCGTACATATTAATGATTGGGTACAGTTTAAGAGTATTTTTTTATAATCTTCGGCAAACCCTAGTATATGCGATAGCGGTATAATCCCAGAAAAATATGTACAGTCGAAAAAGTCTTTATTGTCTTCAGTAGTAATGTCCCATGCCGCAGTGTGTAGTTCGTTAATATCAGCGGGGCT